CCTGCGTAGTTCTGTCGGAATAAAATATTTGGGTGTTTTCCGAGAAATCGAGTCTGTGGGATCACTGCGTACCTAAAAATGGTACACATGGTCTGAAAGTACTCATAATGAAATTGATTGAGTCGAAATGTTGTATCAAAGGATTTATTTTTCAAGGTACTTGAGTCTTTTGTAGGACGGAATGCTGGACTGTAATGCAGGGGGAGGGTTTCAAACTCCGACTACCTGTGCCGGCTGTGCTGCCGGTATTGATGGTGGTGCGTTTGCCGGTACATATGTATTTCCAACTCCCAAATTTCCTGAAGGTTCGGTCCAGTGAGCCTCACAGCCACTGGACTGGACTTTCGGTCCAATTCTGGTTCAGTTCAGGTTCGCCGGTGGTTCGGAACCTGACCACGGCAACACTAACCGGTGCGGTCTTTCAGGTTTTGGAACAGATTCCTCGTCGATGTGTTTGGGTCGGTCGTGTTCCCCAGATATTCGACGAAAAATGTGGTTCCAATGCTGAAACAAGCGAGAGACGGACTCAATAGGGACGACGCATTGGATGGCAGCGAAGCTGGTCCCCTGAGAGTGAGTGTCATGGGGGCAGCCGCGAAAGCGGCTAAAGCGACAGAAAAAATGGGAATAGCACGTCGGAGAGACATCGAATAGCTGGTCTGCAGCTGACCCTGGAAAGCATCTGTTAAATATTTCTTTCAGTGAGCGGCCGGACCGAGACAGTATCAAAGGACCGAGAAAGAAGGCGGGTTCAATGACAATTAGCCCAACTTCAACCTGACGGTGGCTGTCCACCTGCCTCTGTACGTACGATTACTACACTCATCTATGTTTTTGAATGCACTAGGCATACAAATAAATTGAACACTACTATCAACACAAACAATCAGTAATTTTTTGGGAGGGAGATTCCAACTCAATCGATCACACCAGCCGGCAGCAAAGCAACATAGTCAAGCGGTGCTGGTTCAACGCCGTTCGCCTGCCCCACAATTTTCAGCATATCGCCCTTCTTGATCGGCACCTGGTGGAACGTGATTCTCGTCGCCGAATGCCCGTCCAAATATATGGATGGCGTATGTCCGAGCTTCCCAATATCCACAATATTCCCAACCCACTCTCCGACCATCCGGTTATTCACGAAGACTTGATAACTGCTGTTGCCACCGTACATGTCGAAATAACTAACAGCAAGGTCGTATACCCCAGAGGTAAAGTTGAGAACTTTTGTCGCTGTCCCGATTGTACTGTTGGTGCTTGTGACGATGGCAATCGAATTGGACGCCGCCTCGAATGGGCTAACAACGTATGGCTGGTACCCGCTCAACTCCATGCTCTCCGCCTCGATCCGGAAAGGATGGTGGCCTACTCTGCCGGCATCATCAGGTATGCCCGAGATGTTGTTGTAGAAATTGACGATCGCATCTCTCCACACAATTGAGTGACCAGCCTGGAAGACCTGTCTAAACAGCACATCCTCAAAGCGTTCATCGTCAATCTTTCCTTTCAATGATTGCCACATCGTAACGAACTTCTGAGCAGTCTCGGCTCCTTTGTAATGTGCGTCATAGAAGTGCTGGATGACCGTCGTCCCGGATTTCAGCTTTTGGGTATAGTTGACATGATGAAACCACAGGAGGAGATTGTCGGGCGTGGTCTCGATGTTTTCGTACATCGCAGCTACCTCTGGCGGGTACTGCCCTGAAAACCTCGTCCCATTCGACACCGTACGATCCATCCCAATACTCGTATGATCTGCCCGAGTCCATTGACCCCAAGGTGTATTATCCAGCGTCTGAGGATTAGGCCCGAAATGCGTAGAAAGGATATCATTCAGGGTCTGCTCCCCGAGATTTCCGCTATAATTCTCGTATGCAGGCCAAGAAGCCATCGACATCTGAGTGATAGTGTCGATAACTGTCTTGTCAAGACCGAATGTGAGACGAGTCCAATCTTGCAGGATCTCCTCGGAATCGCTCGTCCAATCCCATGCTAGATGTCCATAAGCGTATAAGTTCGACATGGCGAGATGACTTCCCAGCCAGGTATCGTCGAGCCCAACGTTGACGACAGCTGCTGAGCCGCCAAGCGGTCGCTTAAACCGGTCGCCAGTGATAACATTCCGCACGAACGACGACTGGTTCCGCACTCGGAGGTCGAAATCCAAGATTGTCCTCCATAGCGGTGGGAGATACACAAGGTGGCACTGCTGACCCAAATACTCCTGCGCAACTTGCAGCTCAATAGCCGTATTCGTCTCGAGGAGGTTGGCGAACAGCGGTGACGCAGGCTCTCGGACCTGGAAATCGATAGGACCATATTTGATCTGAACGATGACGTTGTCGTCGAATTGACCGTCTAGAGGTTGGAAGAAGTTGACGGCGGCATTGGCTCTGTCGGCTTTCCAGTCGCCCTCGTCTGGGAGTTGGTTGTATACGAAGGCGCGGTACATGACTATGCCGCCGAATGGCTTGATGGCTTTGGCGAAGAGGTTTGCACCGTCGGCGAGAGTACGGTTGTATACCAAGGGACCGGGAGTGCCTAATCACCATGGACATGAGCATAAAACTGGGGGGAACAGTGAGCCATTTACCTTCACTGTCTGCTTTGACCAGATACCCTGCGAAATCTGGGATTCTGTCATAGATTTTCTTGGTGATATCATCCCAGAACGCCATGACCCCAGGATCCAACGGGTCATAGGTACTGAGATTCCCAAGCTCCATCGGAGATGCAAAGTCAAGAGACAATCCAAGCTGGATACCATATGGTCTAAACACGTCCGCAATTCTACCGACACCTTGGATGTTCTCTGGGTTGATAGTGGTGAAATTTGCATTGACGTCGTTCACAACTACGGCGTTAATTCGGATGGAGGATAAGAGTCGGGCGTATTCCGAGGCACGGGTCAGGTCGGATACGACATGTCCGTCTGCGAAGAAGATTGAGTTGCCACCGAAGCCACGGGTGATGCTTCCATCCATGTTGTCCCCTAGTAGAGGAGTTCGGTCTCAGCTTTAGCAGGCCCCATCAGAAAATTGGCGACTCACAAGAGTTTATCCAACGAACTGGTGCAGCTGGGTTTGTCGCATATTCGACATTGGAGAAATTTCCTTGTGCCAGCATGGATAGGTACTCGAAAGCACCGTATAGAGCACCACGCTCGTTTTGTCCGAGAATCTGTACCGTGCTACCCTTGACATTAAGCCAGAATCCATCTTCTTCTAGCTTGTCTTTGACGGGGCTGCTCCCAAAAGCCTTCTGGAACTGCGAAATGGTACCAACAACAGCTGAAGAGGTCTCTTTCCCAGTGCTGCGAACACTGAGTCGCTTGCCAAAGATTCCCTGGATACCCTTCTGCAGCTCTTGCCCTGCGGTATTGACAGGACTATTTGTGCTGGAATTGAGAGCAATTATTGACGAAGGAAGTGGTGTGTAATGGCCAGGAGGTAACGGTGCGTAACGCAGCCATGCTTGTCGGCCATTCTCCGCTGCGACAAGGCCTGCGAAGAGGAAGTAGTGGAGGAGTTTGAGCATCATAGTGGGGCGGTGGCCGGCGTCGATGTTCGTTACAGTGACATTGGAGGGTTATTTGTATATTCGCCATTGTGCCGATGCTTGGTCGTATGATCAGCTTGAATTCTAATAACGTTTGGGAAAGGGGCCCGCTGTATCCGCAGACGTATGCGCGAGAGACTTATGAGAGAGTCAAAGACTATTTTTGTACAGAAAACCTTCCTTATCTAGAGAGTTGATCCGCCGGGATCAAAACATCAGGAAAAGCGGGATTCTATAATACCTCATGATACCTCGTGTATTGAGCAGATGCCTCGTATCGTGTATGTCACGATCCGAAGAAACCCCAGTCATCGTCTTCTTCTCCCTCTTCTCCCTCTTTATAAAATTAAGCCTCCGAAGCCTTTTCTCCGACGATCACTTGACCCCGAGATTCCACCGAGACCGGCCTTAAAGTCAACTCTGGGGTTAAGGGTAACCTTATTTATTCTGTGAACAGCTTCATTATGTAGGGAATTTATCAGCAACTTCTTCTGAGTACACAACCGTCTGTAGACATTCAAGATCCCGGATTCATTGTTCAGTTGAAGTGGTGGGGCGCGGAGCGCCCCGCCGCGCTCTTGTTACTCTTCGAGATCAACCACATTCCGTGCCTCGGTTCCAAACCTCGCTCAAATTGGTTCTTTTTTTCTGATACATGGCATGTACTCCTGGCTCAGTTCCCAGCCTCGCTTAAACGAGTACTTATTTCAATCGTCATTTAGTTCTTGCTAGCTCCGCGCCGCTCTGTTCCGAGCAATCATGTGGCTTTTCTTCCAGTGCTCAAAATCCACTGAATGGGGGGTCGGTCTGAAATATTGCAACGTGGTAGTCTTGCTCTAGGTTCTAGGATAGCGTGTATCCAGGCTAGAAAGTCGGACTTGGTTTGTGGTGCACGGCTGCTCCTGATGTTAAATCCGCATCGAGATTTAGGTGGGAGGCCTGCTTTCGATTTCCAGCATTCACATAAGCGATGGCAGGTCTTTTACATGGCATCGGCTTTCCATGTTTTGCGCTGGTGGTTTTTACTCTACCTAACCCGGTACACATTCAAGCTGAGGACTCGGATGTGGTGCACGGTGCACGCCCGCTCTCCTTCAAGCTTCATGTTTGCTAACAATTTGAGGCGAGAGCCCTGGGTTCAATTCCCAGCATCTGAATTCAACATCCCTTCCCTTTGTTTCTTGGCCTGGACTCTCTACTCTAGATTTCGCGCTGACAATTTTACTCTATGTATTCAGGGACATGGACGAGCTGAGCGCTCGGATGTGGTGCACGGCGCACGAACGCTGTCCCTTCACGCCTGCCACTGTATCGATTTGAAGTGGGAGCCCAGGATTCGACTCCCTGCATCCAAATAGTATGCCAAATAGCATACATTTTTTTAGCGCGTGGGCTCTCGCATTTTCATTCTACATATTCGGGTAAAGGTTTGAGTTAGGGACTCGGATGTGGTGTATGGTGCACGCCCGCTTCGAATAGCTCGCAGAGGATTTGATTTGCGCGGGAGTTCTGGGTTCGACTCTCAGCATCCGAATATGCCGACCGGTAATATTTTTTTGGAGCTCTTTAGAAATGCACTGATACAGTAGTATTCATTCTATGTATTTAGGAACAGGTTCAAAGAAAGGACTCGGATGTGGTGCACGGCGCACGCCCGCTCTCCCTTCATATTCAGAGAAGTGGCGATGAAGCGGGAGCGTTGGGTTCGACTCCCAGCATCCGAAATTTCTGGAGACCGTGCCTTTTTTTCCCGTTGCATTGAGGTACTCAATTAATATTCCCTTCACCCGACTCATGATCAGTACTCAGTACTCAGCGCTCTACGTTTGGAAGCCCCCGGCTCCCGAATATAGCTGGCATCATATTCGAACCTTTCTTCTGTGATAGCCGCCGGCCCAAATGGTTGCTCAACGTTGAGCATGCACACAACACCCCTATCTCGGCAACGTGGTGGCTGTGCCCGGACGTGGCCAAGCACGCGCATACGGTGCAGCCTCTGTACGACTACCACGACGCCGACGAACGAATCTCCTAGCTTTCCTCCCATTCCGACGAGACGAATAGGCCACACATAGCCAATTGACTACGATTCGAGGTGGAGTTGAAGAGAAGGACTTGAAGAGAACGAATTGAAGAAGCCGAATACTCTGCCGGGATGTCTGGGCTGCTGTTTGCCAACTTCAACCAGGACTACTCCTGCGTGTCTGTGGGGACGCGCAAGGGGTACAGTATCACAAACTGTGATCCATTTGGGCGGGTCTATACCATGAGTCTGTCTTGTCTTCCTCCCAAGTCGTGCTTGTATATTTACTGCGTGCAGACGACGGCGGGCGCGGGATCGTGGAGATGCTGTTCTGCACGTCGCTCATCGCGCTCGTCGGCGCCCCCTCTGACACCCCCGCATCCACGACCTCCCCGCGCAAGCTGCAGATCGTCAACACCAAGCGCCAGAGCATGATCTGCGAGCTCCTCTTCCCCTCCTCCATCCTCAGCGTCAAGCTCAACCGCAAGACCCTCGTCATCGTCCTCGAGACCGAGATATACGTCTACGACATCAGCAACATGCGCCTCCTCCACGTTATCGAGACCGTCGCGAATCCCGAGGGTGTGTGTCTGTGTTTCTGCTGCGCAGTGATCCAGACTGACGAAGGGTCTAACAGCGATCTGCGCTTTGAGCCCGGCGGCGGATGCCCCGTACCTCGCATACCCCGCCCCGCTGCCGTCGCCGACGCTCGCGGCCGCCGCGCCGCCCGCGCCGAGCCCCACCGGCAGTGGCGACGTCATGCTCTTCTCCACGCGCGCGCTTGCGCCCGTGAACGTGCTCCGCGCGCACCGCTCGCCGCTCGCCATCCTCGCGCTCAGCGGGAACGGCCAGCTGCTCGCTACCGCCAGCGTCAAGGGTGCGTCTCCCCCTTCCCCTCCCCGTGCTATGTGTACTGACGCAGCGTGTAGGCACCGTGATCCGCGTGTTCGGCGTGCCCTCGTGCGACAAGCTCTATCAGTTCCGCCGCGGCGCGCGCGAGACGCACATTCACTCGCTCGCGTTCAACGGCGCGGGGACGTTGCTCGCCGCCGGGAGCGAGCGCGGGACAGTGCACCTGTGGAAGGTCGGCCGCGGTGCGTGCTGTCCCTCTTACTCTTCTCCTCCCTCCCATGCTAATGCATTTTGCTCTGCTTGCAGCCGGCCCCCCAAACGGGAACGGGAACGGGAACGGGAGCAGCCCCGCGCGGGAGGAGGCGGGGAGCCCCGCGGAGTCGGTCGAGGGGCACGCGCCGCTGGACGCAGGGTACGAGGCGTTCGTGGAGGGGAAGAAGGATAAGGATACGGGGGTTGGGTACGTCCTTTGCTTTCATTTTGTCGCCGCTAGCTCCTTCCTCCTTCCTTCCTTCCCTTCCCCACGTACCACTCCTTCTCCGTCCTTCTGCTTCCGCCCATGTGTCGTTCCCTGCGCGCCACTACTTCTCTGTGCTCCCCTTCCGCAGTCCTCCCTCCTTTCCGAAGTATTCCACTATCCTACCTTCTTCCTTCCCCGCTCCGTCCTTCCCCGTTTCCCCTCCGCCTATCTCTCTGCGCGCTCCGTCCCCCTTGCTCGCATTCCTCCTTCCTGTCTCACTCTCCCCGCCCTCCTACGTCGTCGTCCCGCTTGCTCAGTCCTCCCCTTCTCCCCTTCTTCTACACGTCCCCGTCTCCGTCCCCTGCGCCCATTCTTCCGTTCGACTATACTACCCTACTATCTTCCCCCATCCCATCCGTCCCCCCGCATTTCGTTCTTCCGCCACCCATTCCGTTCCTCCCCCCGCTCCCTCTCCTCTGCCCCCCATTGCGTTCCTCATACGTTACCCCCCGCCGTCCACCTACCTGTGTTTCATCTCCGCGTTCTCTGGCTCATACTACCTACTACCTTCCCCTCCCCGTCTCGTTCCTTCCACCCCCGCTACCCCGGTAGGCGGCTGTCCCCATTGTCATCCTTCCATCCATCCTTGCCCACCGCATCCCCCTTCCTTCCACCTACGCCTTACATCATTCCCCTTCACCTCCTCTCCCTTCTTTGCGCGCTCTCCCCTCTCTCCCAGTCCTTGCCCTTCCGCGTCTCGTTCTCCCTCCTTCCCTCCATCCACATCCTTGCCCTCCCCCGCTTCCCCTTGCCCCCTCCTTGGCGCGCTCGGGCCGTCGTCCTTTACCATCGTCCTCTACGAGCCTTGCACGCTTCGTGTCCCTCGCGAGCCTCTCCCGCCTCGCGTCCCACTCTCTTTCGGTCGTTCACCTACCCCCTGTTCTCCACATTCTCGTCGCCCTCTCGACTGTACCTGTACTACCTTCCACCGTCCTTCCCGTCCCCGCGTTCCATTCCTCCTCCACCGTTTCACCCCATTCCCGTTCGACCACCGTGTCGTCCCTCGCCCATGTTCCTCTCCGGACGTACTCCTGCCTATCCTATTTTTCCATGTGCCGCTCGCGCGTCTTTCCCCGCCGTCCCCCCTCTCTCCTCTCCGCCCGCCTGTCCTCATCTTCGCACCTCCACCCCCCCTTCCTCCGAGCCGCGCCACCTCATCCGCCACATCTTCGCGGCCACCTCCGAGCCTCCGAGCCTCACCTCCCGTTCACCTCCCACCCAACTTATCTTCACCCTCCTCTCCTTATATCTTATACCTTATGCCTTCCTCCTACTAACCCCTCCCGTAGAACCCTCCGCCGCCGCTCCCTCCACCTCACCTCCTCCCTCACCAAGGCGGCCGCGGCCTACCTCCCCGCGGGCCTCGCGGAGATGTGGGAGCCGGCAAGAGATTTTGCGTGGTTAAGGATTCCGGGGGGTGAGTGGGTTTTCTTTGCTTTATTGATTATGTCTCCGGGCGATGCGTGCTCGTGCGACGTCGTCGCCAGTGGCGTGTATAGGAGGAGATGGGCGCCTTACTTCGGAATGTCGCCGCCGCATTGGGTGCGGTGCGATGACGGGCGTGCGTGGCGGGGCATCCTGTGCGCGTCGCTGGGCCATCGCGTTGCCGCTCGTTGCTCTTCACCCTCGTGGGGACGGGGACGGGCCCGCCCGCTATCCCAGCGCGTCTGCGGTGTGGTGCGGCGGACATTGACGTGCGGCTAACGGGTGTGCGTGCGGACGGTCTTGAGCCCCACGATACTCTACGTATGGGCGGGCGCGGGCAGTGGGCGTGCGCGAGTGCCTGGGGCAGAGGGACCGCGTGCGTCCGGAGGCGGCCCGAGCTCCCTGGCGAGAGGAGAGGAGAGATGGGGTGCGGCTGACAGAGGCGTGGTGCTGGCGGATGTGCGTACGCGCGGGCGCTCTTCTCGCCGGCTCGGCGTGTATGTGCGCGGGGTAGAGGGACCGCGTGATTGGAGGGCCGTGGCGGTCGACGTGTCCAGTCGTATGTCGATTGGGAATTGGGTGGCTCGTCTCAAGCGGGCGGGCTGGAAGCGGCTGGGAGTGCACGCGCACTGCTCGTGCCCCCCCCCCCCCCCCCCTTCGTCGTGTGCTTCCCTAGCATCTCCCATTTCTTCTTCCCTCTTTCCATTCTCCCTCCTCACACCTATCCGGATATGACACTAACTGGCATCCTTCCCAGGGACGACCACGAGCGGCGCGGGCGAGCGGCGGTGCGTCGTTGGGCTGAGTAGGTGTGTCTTTGGTCTCTATCTTTTGTCACTCCGTTTCCTTTTCGTCCGCCGTCCCTGTCCTCCGCGTCCTGTACATGGAGGTCGTCCGTCGTTCGTCGTTTGACGTTCATCGTTCGGCGTGGCCGTCTATCCCCTCTCTTCATACGGTGTTCCTCCCCCGCCTTCTGTCTGGCCTCTATCCACTTCCCGTATCTTGTCCTCCCTCCGTCCTCCCTCCCCTTGCACCCTCTTCCTTCCCCTCCCTTCTACATCCCCGTCCTCTTCTTCCCTCGCCTTCCTATCCTATCGAGCCCCCGACTCAGACTAACGCCTCCCCAGCACGACGCCCCACGTGATGGTCATCTCGTCGGACGGGTACTTTTACGCATACAGCATCGACCTCGAGCGCGGGGGCGAATGCGTGCTTGTGAAGCAGTATTCGTGCGTCTTTTCTCCTGTCGTTTTCTCGTCTATTCCGCTTGCTGACCAATCATCTAGATTACTCGAGTCGGGAGAGGAAACAATGTAGCCCGCGTGTCGTCTAGCATGTTCCCCGAGGTCGAGGGAGGAGGCGCGCGAGGGAGGGGCTGGAACCGGTGTCGCGTGGCGAAGGAGTGGGGTCGGCCGCCGAGGTCCCAGCGAAATTTATTTTCTGGCTTTACTACTGTTTACGACGTGGGCCAACAGATACATTATCGCAGACACATTATGATTATCCACAGAATAATGCACGTTGCCCCCGAGGTGTTGGTCTACACGTGAATGCAAATGTGAATCGTGACTGAAATGTGTGGAAGACTTGTATTATTATTATTGCTATAAATGCCAGCCAGCCTTCGGCGTCATGACTAAAACGAGGCTTATTTTCTTTTCTGTTGGTCGAAAGAAAACGAAACCTAGTGAGTCTGCACCACATCCTGTGTCGCGGTGATCAAGGCCGCAACCGCCTCGTCTATCTCCAGAGATGTGGCGTCCTCAAGGTCCGCCGCGACACGTCGAAGTCCCGCCTGCACTGCTCCCGTGTCCGACTGTAAAGGAAATCAGTGTGGCGGGTCCTCGTCGACGTCCTCCCACACAGCGACCATGTGCAGCTCGATGCGCCCCTCGCTCCGCGCA